ATACAGACAACTAAAGCTGCATGCCTGTCTGAAAGGAGGGCTGAGAGAAGGGTCTTAATATTGCTTGGAATGATTTAGGATTTGGTTTCAGGTCTGCTGGAGAGAAGAGGTTTCTTTTTCTTTCCTTTTCCCACTCTGGGCTAATCCAGCAGGTGATGACATCACACAAGACATTATTTTATTTGTTTGTTTGTTGATTTACTTTTGAGACAGGGTCTCGCTCTGTTCCCCAGGGTGCAGTGCAGTGGCCTGATCATGGCTCACTGCAGTCTTGATCTCCTGGACTCCAGAAATCCTCCCAACTCAGCCTCCAGAATAACTGGGACTACAGGCGTGCACTGTCATACTTGGCTAATTTTTTTATTTTTCATAGGGATGGGGTCTGGTTGCATTGCCCAGGCCTGAGCTCTTAGGCTCAAGTGATTCCCCCTCTTTGGCCTCACAAAGTGCTGGGATTACCAGCACGAGCAACCACGTGTAGCCAAGACATTTATTAAGAACACAGATCTCAAACATGAAGCCAGGGAGCTGTGTGAGGCCTGGTAAATAAGAAGACTCACCAAGGCCCTTGAGTTTTCAGATGTTTTGTTGATTACACAATCCACTTACCTGGGCAGGGCAAAATGTTGCATTCCTGATATTCTAGAGATGGGCCGAGGCAAGGCATTCCCCCATACTTGGGTTCGGGGTTGTTGCAAACACGCTTCCGGTTCCGAATGCCCCTGCTGCAGTCACGGCTGCACTGTGACCACGACGTCCAGGCTGACCAAGCCCCGTTGACCGTGTGGGCAGAGTATCTGCCAGCACGCAGGAAATCCCCAGAAAGCCCTGCCAAAGAAACAGGTGAAGTGTGATTCCGTTACAAGTTTCAGAGGAACCACAGCCCATGCTGACTTTCACTCTGTATCGGCTGTCTGCCTTATGTCTCCAACTACCCTCTCACATTCCGTTGAGCTCTTTTTACACTTCAGCAGCCAAAAATCAGACAGCCTCTTGTATCTCAAGCTTCTTTTCTACAGTTACTATGAAATAAGGCTGAAATCAAGAACTCCATTTGTGAATGTGGTGAAGCCTTTACACCGTAAATAATAGATTCTATATAGGTAGTTCATTTACTTTTTGAAGAAACTTCTTATAAAGAAAATACAACTTTCTCACTTCCCTTGGGAATTCTACAACAAACTGCCCTCAGACACAATGGGTAGAGCCTGCCCTGAAGGACCTCCATCTGGAGGAAGGGAAACATAATTCAGACATTTTCTAAACCTATTCTTTCAGCTGTTAACCTTTCAAAGGTGAATTAATGCTGGTGAAAGGGGCCAAGTCAACTGCTCCTGGATCACAGGCCAGAGAAACTCCTGTCTGCTCCGTAGAATTCATGCCCTAGAACTGAACACCGCACTGAGTGACTGCCAAACGTTTCTATGAAGTTTAGAGCACACCGCCTAACAAAAGGTGTTTCCCAAGGAGCCAAGAAAGGCAGCAGCAGCAGGTGGGCTGTGGGGTGAGTGGAGAGTTGCTGTGGCAGGAATCACAGCCAACAGGCTTTGAGGACATATTGTGGGTGATGGGTACAGTGAACACTTTCACTTGTCAAGTCATGTAATTAGCTATGGTCAA